ACAGACTCAGAAAAAAATTTGACATATGTTCTCCCTCATATGTGGATCCTAAATCCAAACCCCAATAAGTGAGTATGTATCTAGACATAACTACAGGAACCAGGATAATGGAAAGGAAACAGGGAGGTAAAGGAAAAGAAAGAATCTGAAAGAGAAGAACAGTAGGAAACAGGCCTTAATAAGGGAGATATGGATAAAAATTGAGTTAGTTTAAGGGAGAAGGGAGGGAAGGGTATACAAGGAACCTAGGAGATAAAGGGAAAGAAGGGGCTCAAGAGAGGTAGGACTGTAGGAGAAGGATATTATTAAGGGAGAAAGGGGGGAAATGGGGATACCTTAAGTGGGAAAACCATGATGGAGGGGTGAGACAATGTGAGAGATAAATAATGCCTAGCTAGTTTTGAAAACCAGAGGGAACCATATTACTCCATAACCTACTGACAAATTATATATAGCCGATCAAGAAATCTATACCTAGGTAAGGTTTATCTGAGAACAATTGGTCTTTTCCCAAGATTTATCTATATGACACACAGTAATTAAAAGTACCACACTGGTGGACCTAACCTTCTTGGATGTTTAAACAGACATACTTTGAGGCCTATAATAATTTAGTCAGAGGGACGTAAAGGACAGTTTTTGCTCCTTGCCCTCTTAGGTCGACTAGTTCCAGGGGACTATGAGCATCTCTCAAAATGTCCTGTAATGGTGGCGGGTCACCTGTCCTCTTGATCAAGGAGGCCGAGGAGACCCCACCAGATGGACTTGAACCAGTGTCTAGTCTACAAAGAGGAGGGTCAACACAGAGGAATAATTTCCTCCATGCTTCTAAGCTAAGCCAACCAGGGTCGAGTAGGATCTTTGACTTATCTTCACATAGGCGGAACTGGTAAAAGAAAGGAGCCAGGGGCTCCTCCCAAGCCCATGTAACCTCTGAGGAACACATCCTCAAATGACTTTAAGAGTGAAAATAAATTGGTTTATCTGGGCCAACTGTATGGCCTTAAACACCAAAAAGGAAAGTATAACCAAAGATTAAA